ATCTCTACTTGGTAAATTTAAACATTCCTGCTATTGCCAGATCTATCATTCATCAGGATCCCATGGGAGGGGAGAGGGGAAATGATTGCAGCAATAAATCTGCTACAGTGCTGTTCCTTATCTGTTTTGGTAGAATGATGCCATCTTAGCTGCTGTACCAACATGTAGGATGTGTTTTTTTAAAGAAAGGCTTGGTTATTTTGGTTGCATTTAATGCCTTATGTATTTATTTCCCTCACCTTTCCACCCCCCTTTCTAACAAATAAAATCTGTCCTACATGAAGTCACTGACATGTTTACTTAAATTGAGGTTCTTTTCAGGGCAGAATTTGACTGACTATAGAATTATTACTTTTTTTGCTCCTACTTTTGTATTTCAAATTGTTTCTCAGAGTGGTTTAAAAACTTGTTAATTTGAAAAATTACAAAAGGATCAGCTAGAACACCTATTAAGGAAGAGAAGACTCAACTACTGCATAAAAGTGATAGTTCTTTCCTTTTCAGATGCCTCTTCCATGCAACCTATGAACTCCATTATTCACCCCTTACAAGGTACAGGACTGCAGGTATATCTCATTTACACATTTTTTCTTGGCTCTGAATTTTTCTTGCTATTTACAGAAATACCGGAGTGGTGACTCAAGTTATTTTTTAATCTTTAATATCTCAAACACTACCCACTCTTGTTATTTTGACTGTATGAACAGTCTTTGGAGGATTAAAACTGCAACAATAAACTGAATTATACATACGTTGATGCACGTGAGGTGCAGACCATAGAAACTAGAGTGGAATCAGACTTTACACCCCACTAGCCTGCCCCAAATCTTAAAAAGCAGGGAAAGCCCTGAGGAGCCTTGACAGGAACAGACTATTGCTCGTGCTTTCCCTTATGCTGTTGTACTCTAACTCAGCCACAGACTATTCCAAGGGGAAGCTGGGTGCAGGGGCAGCAACAGCCTTTTTATTTGGTTCTCCTGTTGGTTTGTGTGCCCAGTCTTTGGGCCTGATGACTCATTACCAGCTCTGCTCAGTAACTGAAGTGACTCTGCTGACCCCACTCTCCAATCTTTGCCTCTGATGAGCTGTGACTCGTTCCCAGTTTTACATTACTGTGACATGTAAGTATTTTGTCAGCCTCTTGTACTTTGCAGCACTTGCCAAGCATTCTCTCTGCTGGAGCCCACCTGGCCTTTGAGCCCAATTACTGTCATGGTGTGGTAGGTAAAGACACAGCACAGCCACTGCCTGGTTCAGCCGTCGCCTCTTCAAAGTCTCTGCTGCAGCACCCCTGCACTTGTTCAGTAACTGATCAGACCCTGGTTATTTATTCCATGAATACAGCACCTTCTGCTGTTCCAGACTTCTTCAGAAATTCTTGGATAAGCATATTCTACTTCAGGTAGACAGTGAAGATGAAACCCAGCCTTGTGCTGTGCCCTCCTGTGTGGAGCACAGAGCTGCTGTGCCTGCCTTCAGTGCAGGCTGAGATATGTTGCTTTCCCGTGGGCAGCACATCTCCCCCAGCAGCAGGATCTGAATGTGCCCTGTGAAAGCTGCTCCATTGCCTACAACCCTGCCAGGACTGCTCAGCAGTGCCTCAGTGCTTTGTGTAGCTCCTCTCTATTGTATTTGCAGGGCGCCTCGAAGTTGGAAGGAAGGAATGAATCTGACTCTATGTGCTTAGAAGGCTAATTTATTATTTTATGATACTATATTATATTAAAGAAGAGTAAACTATACTATAGTAAAGAATATAGAAAGGATACTTAGAGAATGGTAAAAGGATAATAATGAAAAGTTGTGACTCTCTCCAGAGTCCCGACACAGCTTGGCACTGATTGGCCATTGAGTCAAAACAATTCACACCGAAAACTAATGAAACAATCAACTGTTGATAAACAATCTCTAGCTACATTCCAAAGGAGCAAAACACGAGAAGCAAGTGAGAATTATTGTTTTGCCTTTTCTCTGAGGCTTTTCAGCTTCCTAGGAGAAAAATCCTGGGCATTTTCTGAAAACAGGGATTTTTCAGAAAATATGAATGTAACATCTCTCCTCTGCATGTGCACTTACTGCATGTGTCTAAATTCTTCACCCAGGGGCCATTGCTGTGGGACCCTCCACACGCAGCCTACAGCCACCAAACTGACCTGCAGCTCACAGATTTAGTTCTCACCCTGCCAAAGGGGAAACTGAAGGACATAGTGAAGTCTTTGCTTTCTGACATAATATAATTTCTGTTCTGCATTCACAGGGAATTGATGTAGACAAACATGTAAGATAATACAGCTACTGCTCTGATACAGAAGCTGAGCAGCCCTTAAAGCCATAGTCTGGGGAAGAAGTGTGTAGCATTTGAAAAAAAAAAACCAAAACAGTTTCCTCATAAATGGCCTGCAGCTATTTTCAGATTTACTTATTTTAGCTTGCCAACTAAAGGTATGCCATAAACTACATGAACACAGCTGTCTCTAAGGAGACTGCTAATATTAGTGGTGGCTTCTTACTGTGATGGACAGCGATTCTCTGCAATACAAATAACTCTCAGCTTACATTAAGTTAAAAAAATAAAAAAGGAAAAAAATCTAGCTTCAAAGAAAATCTCAAAGTAAGACTGTTACCACAGTTTTGGTTCAGATCCCTTGCACATGAAGATACAGTTTTTAAGTAAAGAATTGTGTTACTTTTAAACCATGATGACCCAGGATGAGTGGCCTATTTTGACTGAATGGGTCTCTTCAGTATTTCTCATGGAACAGGCAGGGAGAGCAAGGCTTGAGGACAGCTGCCTGACCCAGCACACCTCAGCACTGCCATCTGTGAGGGACAGAGCTCCAACCAAGCAGCTGTAATGATTCACCCACACTGGACCTTGGCCTTTTTCCTGGAACAGTTTCATTTGAAATAAAGGGTCAGCTTTGTTATTATAGACAATTTCAACCCACGTGTCTGATGTGTGCCAAAATTCTGACCAGAAAAATATGGTCACGAAAGAAGAAGTGATACTCTTTACTGGAGATTGAACTGAAACATACACTCAGAGATAAGCTGCTTTAGAACTCTTTCTGCCTATTCAGAACATAGAAACACATCCTTGTGGTGCAAAACTATCCCTCCTCTCTTACAAGCTGATGCGTGAATGAACATTACAGGAATTAGCAACATGCTCAAAAAACAGGTCTGGTTACTTCTCACTATATGTATTATAGACAATTTCAACCCACGTGTCTGATGTGTGCCAAAATTCTGACCAGAAAAATATGGTCACGAAAGAAGAAGTGATACTCTTTACTGGAGATTGAACTGAAACATACACTCAGAGATAAGCTGCTTTAGAACTCTTTCTGCCTATTCAGAACATAGAAACACATCCTTGTGGTGCAAAACTATCCCTCCTCTCTTACAAGCTGATGCGTGAATGAACATTACAGGAATTAGCAACATGCTCAAAAAACAGGTCTGGTTACTTCTCACTATATGAAAGGGAAGGTGAAAAAAAAAAGCATCACCAGTATTTGTTTTGATTTTTTAATGACCAAGTGTAGCAAAACCAAAGCAACCATGAAGAAGATAATTGTACACACACATGTTAGTCAATAACTAAACTGTGCAAATTGACCTCAGTACTTGTTCCCTCGTTACTCCCTCCCCCTCTCACACGAAAGATTAATATACAGTGCAGCAGTGCAGCTCTGAGCCACTGCTCAAAGTCAGTAAAAATATTTTTGTAACCTTAAGTAGGAAATGTAATAGGCCAAGGATTGAAATAAAGACTTTTCAGGCCTCTGCTTAACCTTTCTGTACCTCAGTGTTTGCTTTCATTGATCAGAATACCTTACCTGATTATAAGATTAGTATTTTTTTACTAGCAGAAATCCTTTGAGAGTTCACATATTTTTTCTTTTGACAAAACTGATTATTTCAAAGGCTGCTACTTGATTCAGATGTAAGATTTTTATGATCCAAGATGTGCAACCTAAATATTTAATCTAATCATTTAATTTTTTTACAGTGCAAATACAAAATTGGTAATGAAGTAGACAAAAAAAAATCTTACAGGACACTCTGTTCAATCCTTACTATTTCAGAAGGACTCCTTGGTAAGTCCTGTTCAAAAAATCACATTAACTGCTTTGTGTTAACAGACTGATCCCATGAAGCAGAACAAATTCTTATAGTTCATTGTGTTGAAGACCTTGAGAGATTCTGCTGGATAAGTCTTGCAAGTGTTTCTTTACCTATCAGGAAAACAAAACACACAAAAAAATTTCAGGAAGACAGTGAATTATCAATATAGTGATATATTCAGATTTTGCTATGAGTATTTGTAACAACAGAAAGAGCAGAGAGCAGGAAGATTTCAGGCCTTTTAGAACTAGGTCTATAAAAAACAATTATGTGTATGCTGTACTAAACATGGAGAACAGATGTGTCTTGAACTCCCCTTCTGGAAGTCATTCAGCTTGCATGAAAAATCAGCACTGGATAATCTACTTCCCCTCTGCTACTGAGTTAAACTTTCAACATGTATGTAACACTGGATTTATACAGACCTTATATCCTAGTTCTTTTGTCTTTTCTTGCAGCATGGCATATTTCTCTTTGTTTCTGTTTAGATGATCCTTGTCTCCAGTTCCCTCTACATGCTTCAGTTTCTGGTGTGAAATCTCTAATTGCTTCTGGTAATGATGGTGCTTTTCAATTTTTGCTTCGAAATGTTTCAGCTCCTCCTAAGATAACAAATACACACAGCTTCAGAAGAGTTGCTTTCCAAGCCTTCCTTTCTCTTGCCAAGACAGTCCCAATGATACTTTACTAAGTCAGGCGCAGAAAGCTTTTTCAGTTCCCTGCTTCTTAAGAATGTCTGGACAACCCATTACCATCACCACCAGACTGCTGATTTTGAAAGCAGTGCTGAAAATGACCCACTGCAGAGTCCTCAAAAGGAGACTGTGGGAGGCTGTGAGGTGCTACAAGATGAGAGCAGAGAACACCAAGCAAAAATTTAGGCATAAGAACAGTAGACTGAAGGGAGAGAGACAAATTTTTAAAAAAGCCTCTTTTTAAAATCTGATAAACAGGCAGAGTCAGATTTAAAAAAAAAAATCAAATCTTTATATAACTTGAATTGAATAAAAGTGGTATGAACTGCACAGGAATGGATTTCTCTATTATTTCCTTGAAAAGCAGTCTTTATCACCATAGTTTTGTGTCAGCTCAACACAGTTCCAACATGGGAAGTTAACAATACTTGAGAGGGAAATTGGTGGGTATAGAGATTACAGTGCTTCCCAAGGACATTATTAAGACATTCGTAAGAGGGGTAAATCTGGTGCCTTGACAACAAAGAAGAGGAACCTGATCTTTCAGAGATTCAAATTATGCAACAGTTGTTTTGAGAGGATGCAGAATTTTCATTCTGCTGATTATAACAGAACCAGCATATGATTAAGTTATACACATGTCTATATATCTGAAGTATTAAAAAGGCAGCATGACTTTTTTATGGTGTCTGGAGGGTAATACAGAAGTTGCTGCAATCAGAGTAACAGCAAGTGTTTCTTTATGTGGCAAAATATCTTTCTGCAAGAGAAGTCACTGGAATTCTACCTACCCGAAAAGATTCAAGTTCTTTCTCAGTGAAATTAGCTGATTTGGCCATGTCCCACAAATCAATCACTCTTGGTTCTTCAAATTCTAAACAAACACATATAACAAAATGAAAATCTGGACACAATGCTTTTAATGCCCAGCCTCTATAAAAGATGAAGAGAGATGCTTTCTCACATACGAATAGTTAAGAACAGAGACAATAAGCACTGCATTTCTAATAGATCTATTTAGATGAAAAGGGAGAAGTATCCAAGTACTGCATAAAACTAGATACTAGTATTAGGTAAAACAAGTAGGTTTTTAAAAGCAAAAAAAAAGCCAAACCCGAGGAACTGGATAAAGGCATTGCTTGCTCTGCATTAAAACTTCTGATCCCTCTAATACTAAAGCAAAGGAGTGTCCCTGCTGTGTCCTTTACCATCTACTTTTGGGGAACTGCTTTACATAAACAAAGCACTTAGAAGGAACCACTTTATTTATGGTTCTTAGTATGTGCTGAGTAAAAGAAAAACCTTAATAATGAACTTGTTTACTTTTCTGGTGCAGGATGACCTGGACAGCCCAAGTGTCACTGCTGCAGTGGCACCAAGTATCATTTTCCTCAGCAAGAACTGAGCCCTGAAGCTTCAAGACTGAATGAATGGTTTGCTACAAACTGTGAATGGAACAGCCAAGCATCTTGGTTGTTGGTAGTTTTCTCTGTAGCTCACAAAATTTCAAGCTGACCTAGCATTCATTTAGTCTTTGGTAGTTATGTACTCTAATACTAGTCAGCGTTCAAGTAGCGTGGACATCATATGTAGTGGGGCGGAGGAAATACAGGAATAAATAGCCAGGCATAAATAGATAAGAAGTAATTTAGCTCCTAAGTACTGCAAATATAATAAAATAAATAATTTATTTACTAAATATAATTTAGTAGGAAACTAAAGTAAGTGTCCTTTATAAGCATTATAAATTCTTTGAAACCTTTTGGAAGCCCCTTGCCTGTCCCATTAATGTAATACATAAGTGGATACATAAGTTAAAGTATTCAGTTCAAGATCTACTTCCTTTAAGGAAGGTTATCCCATGTTGGACCCTGAGTACACCAGGTAAAAAATGTCAATGGTAAGACTCCTCATCACTTCACTCACATCACTCACATGCTGGAATAACTAACTAGAAGCAGAGGTGAAAAGTTAAGTTTAATGATTAAATAACCAAGCAACAAGCTCCTTAATTCCTCAATCCTTATGCTGCCTGGACATTAACACCCAAGACGGGTATCTGGCAATTCTGGGAATGAGTGCTGGAAACTTGTAGAACTTTACAACAATCACGTCATTTGCTGTTGGGTTGGCTACAGTCATTACCTGCACTCTTGCCTCCAAGAGGAAAGAGTTCTTTACTACAGTAAAGTAGTAGTAAAGAACTAACCCATTTACATAATAGTAAATAAATTTAATATATAATAAATAAATAAATTTACTATTTATGAAAAGACATCCTGGAGAAAGTTCAAGCGCTCCCTCCCATTCACCCTCAGGAAAACAAGAAGAAAGTCTGGGTTGCCGGCTCCTGGTCCCATTAAGTAATGTTTTGGGGCTTTTTCACGAACTGCTTCTCCAGCTGTGTGTTGCAATGCTGAATTGCAGTATCTGACTTTTATATCAAAACAAAGAAGTTCCCTGTTCTCAGCAGTTTCTCTATTCTCTATTACTACCAAAATAAAGGAATGAAGAGTTCTGCACTGATACATGGAAGTATTTCAAAGCAGATGTAACAGATGGGCAAAGTTTTCCTCTTATTTCATATATTGCCCAGACATACTGAAAAATTACTTTATAAAGCACATGCTGGGTGATAATTGTACTCAAAAGGGAAGTTTAGATGGTGGCAAATTTCGTTCAAGTAGGTTTTGCTTATCTAAAATCCAGCTCACACATACAGAATTTAATAAGTCTTAGTTCCTTACTGACAGAGTTAATCCATTTCATATTTTAGCATCTTAACACAGATGACGTAAAGCACCTCAAATTTTAATTCTAGAAGAGCCAGGTATGAACATGAGAAAAGACTGTAATTGGAAAGGTGAGAGGTAACTGACACTAGTATCAATATAGATTATTTCTTGTCTCAGTATTGTTTCTTTTTCAGCTGTCAGTTCAACAGCTGGAGTTTCATTAACACACCTTCCTATGCCCCATTCAGCTGTCTCCCAATGAGGAAAGGAGTAATTTTCATACTCTCCTTTAGCACATTGGGATGCAGCACTATGGCAGAGTTCAAGTTTTTGGCTGAATCCAGGGATGCCCTACCTCCAATTCAACAGCTCAGGCTATTCAGAATACAGAAGATCCAAAATGAATGTTAACTATATTTCGTTGCCTGAAAGAACTGAACCTTTACCAGTCATCACCCTAATTCCCATGGTCCACAATATTCAGGGGATATCTGCAGTGCATTCTTCTCCTCCCACTGCAGCTCTCGTTTTTACTTCTAAGTAGGTATTTCCACTGTAATGAAATAATTTGACTGTATTTTCACTTTAATTAAAATTTTTTGTAGACCACTGTGAGAGAAACTCATGTACTGTTATGACTCACTGCCAAAATTAAGGCTCTCATCTGGGAATGGTGAAACCCATTTGCTGGTCCTCTTGCATTTGTCTACATCACTTGATATGAATGTAGGCGACACAAGCACCAGGGTGGAGGTTTCCTCTTCTCCTGCAGTGAACTTCTGTCCTGTGCCGGGCAGGAACCGAGCCATGGCCTTCAGACACATGAGAGCATCACAGCCCCGAACGACACGGCTAAAGCGCTCAACCAGCGAGCTCTGGAGCCAAGCGCAGATCCTACGCGGCACTACGGGGGCTTCCCCCTCTCTTGCCACTTCCTGGGCATGTGGTTTAGCTGCTGCATTTAAACCCGGGCAGGGGAACACCTCCCAGGCTCAGACACACATCTCCTCTCCCGGGCAAGGCTGCTCCCCGCCGCCGGCACAGCGGGGCTGAGCGGAGCGCTCGCTGCGTGACGGTCGAGACAGCCATGCCCGAGAACAGAACAAAAGCCACCGCAGCCCCGAGCCGGGGCCAGGCAGCCTCGGCCTCTCCTCACACACAGGTCCCCGCTCCTCCCCATCTCCCTGACGGGGAATGAGTGTCTGAAGCGGCCGGGCCCGGCCTCGGAGCTGCCTCCGCGCACCGCCATCGCCCCGCGCCGCGCCACTCACCCGCTGCGCCTTCTCCCAGATCTGGTTCAGCCTCACCACCCGGAACTCTCCGGCCTCCCGCCGCTTGCCGTCGGCGCCCGCCAGCCCCTCGTTGGCCTCCCGGGAGTATTTGCTGGCCTGGCCGGCGGCAGCAAGGAGCAGCGCGGCGGCGAGGGCCGGCAGCGCCCGCACGGCCGCCATGTCGCGCCGCGGGGAGAACTACAACTCCCGAGATGCCGTGCGGGAGCCGCGTCCCGCCCCCGGCTGGGGGAGAGCGGAGGCGAGGCCGGCCGGGGTCCGAAATGCAGTCTGGTCTGGGTCTGGGGAGAGTGAGAGGGGTTAGATTTGAGCTGTTTCTCTTCGTGCCGTTCTCCTCATCCTCCTCAGTGCTTGCTTCACAAAATATGCTGAATATAGCACGTTTTATGAGTAGTTTCCTCCCCCAATACTCGGTGTTGATGTTAGCTGTGAAAAATGTGTATTTTATGATTGGCTTTTCCAAGTATTAAATATTGTATTATGCTAGAAAGTTATGCTATATTAATTTTCTTAAGTAGTGTATTAAATATAGTTTTAGGTTATAACATAATGTTACAATAGAAACTATGCTATGCAAGATATTTGTTTAAGAAAGGACTCGCACCAGATAGAAGCCACAGGACATCTAAACCTTTCAGAGAAAGGGAATTTATTGCTCCCTTATCAGCAGAAAACTAACTTCTTCCCACCTCGCTCAGACAGGAAGATGGCATGAGGATTAAGAGGAAGAAGTTGACAGTGACCAGACAGAATCCTGTGTTTGAATGGAATTTATGCATCATGTATGAGATGTATGAATGTGCAACAGGCAATTGTTTTTAAGGGTTAATCCTCTGTTAACGGGTGTCCTTTTTCGGGCTTGTGTTGCCCAGAAAAAGGTACCCGGATGTCCGTATCTCTTTGTTTTTATTGTAATTACTTTAAGCTGATGTACTTCCTACCAACAAGAATTCAGGAAAGTATCCACATCATTGTTTATGTTTCCATCATAGGCCGTCCTAGTAATTAATCTTGTGCCACTGCATACAATTATTTTGATTTTTAAACTATTTTTTCTCTGCATTTTGCACTTGGCTTACTGAAATTACTAAAATCTAGAGTAGTTAGAATCATGGGTAAATATAATACGTATAGAACACATTAAAACTTCTGATCCCTCTAATACTAAAGCAAAGGAGTGTCCCTGCTGTGTCCTTTACCATCTACTTTTGGGGAACTGCTTTACATAAACAAAGCACTTAGAAGGAACCACTTTATTTATGGTTCTTAGTATGTGCTGAGTAAAAGAAAAACCTTAATAATGAACTTGTTTACTTTTCTGGTGCAGGATGACCTGGACAGCCCAAGTGTCACTGCTGCAGTGGCACCAAGTATCATTTTCCTCAGCAAGAACTGAGCCCTGAAGCTTCAAGACTGAATGAATGGTTTGCTACAAACTGTGAATGGAACAGCCAAGCATCTTGGTTGTTGGTAGTTTTCTCTGTAGCTCACAAAATTTCAAGCTGACCTAGCATTCATTTAGTCTTTGGTAGTTATGTACTCTAATACTAGTCAGCGTTCAAGTAGCGTGGACATCATATGTAGTGGGGCGGAGGAAATACAGGAATAAATAGCCAGGCATAATTAGATAAGAAGTAATTTAGCTCCTAAGTACTGCAAATATAATAAAATAAATAATTTATTTACTAAATATAATTTAGTAGGAAACTAAAGTAAGTGTCCTTTATAAGCATTATAAATTCTTTGAAACCTTTTGGAAGCCCCTTGCCTGTCCCATTAATGTAATACATAAGTGGATACATAAGTTAAAGTATTCAGTTCAAGATCTACTTCCTTTAAGGAAGGTTATCCAATGTTGGACACTGAGTACACCAGGTAAAAAATGTCAATGGTAAGACTCCTCATCACTTTACTCACATCACTCACATGCTGGAATAACTAACTAGAAGCAGAGGTGAAAAGTTAAGTTTAATGATTAAATAACCAAGCAACAAGCTCCTTAATTCCTCAATCCTTATGCTGCCTGGACATTAACACCCAAGATGGGTATCTGGCAATTCTGGGAATGAGTGCTGGAAACTTGTAGAACTTTACAACAATCACGTCATTTGCTGTTGGGTTGGCTACAGTCATTACCTGCACTCTTGCCTCCAAGAGGAAAGAGTTCTTTACTACAGTAAAGTAGTAGTAAAGAACTAACCCATTTACATAATAGTAAATAAATTTAATATATAATAAATAAATAAATTTACTATTTATGAAAAGACATCCTG